TTTCCCATCCTGAAATAATTTCTGCCTGAAACACTAGCCTGTTTTGCCATTAACAATGAAGGTGTATTGTAATCCTTATAGGTAAGTTCATTAATTTTTTTATCTGGAAAAGCCTTAACTCTATTTTAAAATTATTCCCTTTTTCCTCACCTCCATTTCCATGTTTCCTTCACTATGTTCCCAGTGGAACCTGACACTTCTACATTAATAGAAGACAGTGATGAAACAGAAGACCTGTGATAAAAATACACTTTTATGGAGTGCTTGGGCAGGAAGCATTACAGGACCTGAGCAAGAAATAAAAATACAATAAACTATATCAAAATTCAGCTCTGATGGACTCATTGCCACGAAAACAGAAACAAGCGAGCAGACACCTTGGCAAGGACTCAATCATTTTCTGTACAGCATTCATGGAAGCAGCCAAGGGTCAAAAGCTGTTGCAAAGTTATTGGGAATAGGGGAAATAGTAACTGAAGGGAGATGACACACTTGGACATTCTGCATTTTGTAAGTTAAAACAAAGAAACAGGATCAGAGCTGAAGAATGACCTGTGAGGATTTACACAACTGCTGGGCAGCAGTCTCCCAGTAACAGACCAGAGAACAGCAGAGTGTCTTCATACCACCCAGAAATCCCCTGCTGAACTGCAGGCCTGGGCCTCTGCACCCCCAGCCACGATGGGGAGAAGAGGAGAGACGGAGGGGAAGCTGCTGGGCAGCAGAGCTGGGATTGAGGGGTGGTTTTGTACTGCAAGCACTGATCTTCCAGCTCACAGCCTGAAACTGAAAGGACTGCACCAGTATGCTTCCAGCTCTGCAGAGCACGCCTATGAACAGAAAAGGGTCTTCTCCCCCAGGGTCTGCCTGGACATACCCTGGCTGGAGCACACCAAGCTACCTAGGACAGAGGATAAGGAAGCCATCCAGAACTAAACCGGAGAAATTTACTTCCATGAGCACTCATAAGCACAGGAAAATCCATATGTGTTTTGCAGCCATACTACTGACCAGCGTCCCAAGACCATATACCTCCCCATGACTGGTAACATGGATGAAGCTCTGCCTCCTCACAGAGCCTGGCAGGAAATGCTTGCCCAGCCCTCGGCAGTCTGAGATGCTGGAAGAGGCAGTGGAAGCAGCTGCCTCCTGTGGTAGCAATTGCAGCACAATCTTGGACCTTGAGGGCTTTTACCCCTGCGGGGAAAGCACAGACTAAGCAAAACTATACACTCAGGCTGCGTGTTTCGCCTCTTGGAAATTCAGCTGCCAGTCTCACAGAGCAACAGGAAAAATCACATTCATTTCCAGAGATTTTATCACCTCAGTCTTGGCATGGGAGAGGCATCTCCGCCCAGCTGTGAGCAAGCCAGCGCATTTTGCTGGCTTTTTTTAATGTAATCAGAACAAATTCCTTGGAGATGAGTCACAGGGTTTCAAGGGTGTCCAGAGAGATGTCAAGCAGGCCTCAAGTGTAAATCAGTGACACACCTTGCTGAGAGGACACACGCTTGTCAGCAGGTCCATTCCCCCTGCAGACACCAGGCAAGGGAAAGGGCTCAATGAATGTTCCCAGGGAGGCTCCCGTGAGCCACATACACACGTGTGGCACCTCCAGACCCAGGACGCTGCTGGTGTTTACATTTTCTCCGTAATGATAGTGATGGTTTCAGGGTGGAGCTGGAGTGCTTCCCTGCAGCTGCTCTCCAGGCTTAAACACTGAAGATTTTTGGTCATCTGGGCTGGAGGAGCCTGGCAGTCAGGGAAAAGATCTGAACTTCCGAAACAAAGGTTCTGCCCCACCAAAGCCTGGTCAAACTGCAGGGGCTCCTGCCTGAGATGTTCGTTATGGCGGAACAGCTGCATCCCATGGCAATTGTTTCAATGCTGTGATGCTGCTACATTAAGCAAACCTTTTCCGCTCCCCTACCCAGGAATGAGTACTCCAGCCTGCATGGGTCTGCAGGCCAGACAGCGGACAAAGACGATACTTGGGTAATTTCAAGGCACAGGCTGCTTTAGTGGCTCCTTTAGAGGCTGAAATGTAGACAAGCACCAGGAAGAACTAGACCTGGACACAATCCTGGAGTTTCAAAGTAACACTGAGGAAAAAGCTGTGGATGCTCTTGGGCCTTTGGGTGTCAGAGCAGAAGGAACAGACAAAAACCTTGGTGGAGCTAGGCTCTGGGTCAGTCTTCTTTCACTAGTGCCAAGGGCAACATTTGGCACAAGGTGCTATTGTAAGGCAGCCTCCCGATTTGCAAACCACATGCAGGTCTCTCTTGAAGCAGAGTGTGCAGGGTGCTTCCAGTCTAGACTGGGGCAAACCTCTATTTGTGTGTTCTTTGAGGGCAACTGCAGAAGCCACAACCCAACTATCATGCCCTTCACCTTTCAACTTCACCCTCAGGTGACTAACAATTACCAGCTACCATTAATATTAAATGGGAAAGAAAGAAATGCAATCCTCTCTCTGCTCTTCACGTTCCACAATATCACAAACAATTTGTCATATTGGGAGGGGCAGAGGCAGGAGGAGCATTAATTATTGATACTCAGGAACAGATGGCTTTTCTTATACCAGGGCAGCAAAATGTAAGAGGAGCCTGTGGGTGAGGATGTGAGGATTAGATGGGCAGACACATATCAGATAACCAGCCTTCAAGTGGAACAGGAACCTTCCTCCTAGAACCAGCTCTGCTGGCCTGCAGAGCTCTCATCAAAAGCCCTGTCTGCAGAAACAAATCCACTGACATCTGAATTAGTAAGGCTTCACCAGAATCTTTCAACGCTCCCTCACCTCTGTACAAAACATCCTGGATGAGATGACTGACAGCTTCCAGACAGCAGAGGCCTGACAAACCAGGCAGCAACTGGTCTCTCTAGGAGACCCTACTGGTTGCATTTCACACATTCATCCTCATCTACTGCCCTGTGCCATGCAAGGTTTATTCCTGAGAGATCACACATGTAGTGTCCAAGAGTGACTCCCTCCTGTCTTCCACTGGCTTCTGCATCCCACTCAGGGTGCTGGCTTCCAGAATTGAAGATCCAACTGATCTGGACCGGCAACTTCAACCAGAGACTCTGTCATCCAACTCTTTTTGCCACGTTTTCCCACTGATCCATGTAAGGATCAAGAACAAGATGACTTCATTCTTGTAAGCTCCTGTGTAGGTGTCCTTGAGGTCAGAGACACCTAGCAGGTTGCAAAACAGGCTTGGCACAGGACACCCACTGTGAGCGTCCCCATGTCCAAGAGCAGACCGTGGGACTGATATCCTTATGAGACAGGAGGAACAACTGGGCAAGAGTGATTCTCCGCCAAAGGCAGCCGATTCACCAGAGCAGATACAGCGCCATCACAGAGACAAAACTTTTTCCCGAAACTTTCATGAACAGTCTCTGTATCCACTGCTGGAGCCAGGCATCTGCAACCATTTTCACTCTGGTGTAGTTGTGTCATTGCTGGAAGGCTCAGGAACCAGCTGTGCTGACTCAGACCTGGGCCTGGGTAGCCTAGGTCCTGTCTCAGGCAGTGGTTATAAGCAGATGCCAAGGGAAGAGCCAGAACTGGGCAAGCCAATGGTGATACCTCCTCTACTACTGCAAGAATGATATTCCTCAGCTATTTTCCGCTCGGGGATTTCACAAGCCAGACACCACCTCTGTACATAGTGACTCGATTCAGTTTTCCTCTCTGGAAGTACCCCTTAAATCCTGTAAATGGGCACTCACTTTCCCAGTCAGGACAGATTAAATCCATGGTTATTCCACTGAGCAAGGCAGACTTTCTTGCTACCTCCACAGGCCCAGAAGGTACCTCAGGACCACAATGTCCAGCCCCTTGATATACTGGGGACCCCCTCACACTCTTTTCCCAAACTCAGTTTGTTCTCTTGGCCTCGGTGGAGAGCTTGTTCCAAAGCCTCATTACTCTGATAATTAGACACGCTCTTCTCATTTCTCAAGATGACTAATCACTGTTTTCTAATTCCTCTCAGTCTGCCTAGGGTCATGCAGCCTGCAGCCTGTGAGAGTCCTAAGACACGTACAATCTTGTGATTTGGAAAAACACAACTTTCTAGCTGCCCTCCTGGCCCGGATCAATGGCAAAGTGCTTAAGGTGAACAAATGCCAAGTGCCAGGAGACAACTACTGTCCATGAACAACACAACTTTTTACAATGTGGAGTAGGATGGAGAAAGTTTCCATACCTAGGGAGCCAGTGAAGAGGGGGAAGCAATCTTAGAAAGACCTGGGACACATCTGTGCTGGGAAAGATTGAGCTCTACCAAAAAGGCAGCAAACCTTCCCACTATTGAAGCTTTGACCAGTGTCCAAGTTTGCTCTAGTTTGGTATGAGAAATGGACAGACCTGAAAGAGCATCTTTATACTGCTGCGTTACACCAACACGAGAGCTTTTGTTCTTCTAAAAATGCTGTTCATCTCGCTGTGATAGTACCAGAAAACATTTCTAATGTAGATCTGGCTTTGAAGAGCAGTCTCCACAGAGCCGTGATGTGTTTACACTAGCTAACTGCTGCTGAACAGTCAGCTGAGAGCTAACATGCACGGGCTAATCTCACCTCCCCCACGTTTCACAGGGAGGGAATCATCTAGCAAAAGAAACCTATGGATTAGAGAGCAATACAATGGATCAAAAAGCAGGAGGAGGCCATGTCTTTCCATCCCCAGAGCAGAATTGCTCCCTTTCGCCCTACTCGAGTTAACATTTATGTGAATCTTTTCCCTGCTGCTCGAAGAAGGAATCACGTTATATACACATTCCAGAGAACTTTTCCCAGCAGAAATAACCATTTTTAACACACATTGCACTTGGGAGAATGTCTAGAATTTTACAGGCAAATGCATGGGTGGAGCTGTGTTTTGATCCATACAGGAAAGCTGTAAGTTGACATCACCATCCCAGTCAGGCTCTGGAGTCGGGGTGGTCGGTGGGCTTGGGAGGAAGATGTGCTCAGCAGGAGCTCCCTACCTCTTTGATGGCAGACATCTTGATGTTCTCATAGTAGTGCAGTGGTGCATTGGGTGAACTCATGTCATAGCCAAACCCAGCTACCGCCACCTCATCACAGTTGTGTAGCGCCATGGTTATTGCTACGCTTCCCAAGGTGGGGATGTTCTGAGAGGAGAGAAAGCAGGCATGGAAGTCATTAGCAGGTTGCCATTTCTATAATCAAAGATTTCCTCTTACTGTCTCTGCTCACAGGGGCACTGCTGCTACTAAGCAGAAAATCAGGAACAGGGTATTTGGCTATATCTGCACATCAGCTGCCCAGTGCCAGCTTGTGGGGTCAATAGCCTCCCAACTCATAAAGAAAATCATATGTTAGCCAGCTTCCTGCAAAGCATCTAGCACAAAAGCAGTGACTCTTGTTTGAAGCCCTGTGACCTGACTCTCCAGGGGAGTATTGCAGGGCAGAAGGATTAATGCAAATGGTCAGACTCCCCTTCTACAACTTTGCTATCCTGAGAATAGGGCAGCAGATGAGCTGGAGGATGAATCACTGTGGATACATTAGTTTTCTGAAATTAAAACAGAGATACTGGATTGCAATTCTGTGCACATTACTGGCTTCCAGCTAGGCTAAGGAGGAATACTTATCCCCAAATGGCCAACCACACAGGAGCAGAAGTAAGGAACAGTACAAACTCTGTATTTTACTGATGGCAAAAGCAGTTTAAGGAGGCCGTTAAACAGCTCTGGGAGATGGAGAGGAGATCAGGCAGACCCAGTCAGCAGTGTGCACTGAGACCCCTTCCTTTGCTCCGGGGCACCTCCACAGGCAAAGGGCACTCGGGCTTGTGCCATACTCTTCCTAGCCACAGCATACTGGGAAGACAAGGAGCAGTGGGAAGCCAGTCAGAGATGGGTGCTAGCACTCTGAGGAGGGACATCCCGACTGTCCCTCTCCCATGTGCTGACCTGCCATTTGCACCGAAGGCCAGCCCCTCCCATTTCATCTGGCTTCTGCCGAAGCCCTGTGACAGTGGTGCTGTGCAGCTCCAACTCCTCTCATGCATTCAGATGAACATGACTGCTGTGATAGATGAGTATTTCCAGTGTAAAACACTAGCTCCCAGACTTTTCTAGGTCCCCTTTAGCCAGATGAATCCAGACATAGCTTTACCCCAGGGGCTAGGGAGAGGCTGAGAAATCCACCCACATATCTTATCTTCATTTGTAGAGCATCCAACACCGGCTGTATCAAAAGTATTATGAATTCAGAGGACATGCTCTGACAGTCACCAATGGTGACAGCCTCTTAGCTGAGATGTAGAAACCAACTGCATGCTTCTATTTTGCATTTAAAATGGTTTACCCTGAACTGGCAAGCAATGCTATTGTATTTCACCTGATGTTCGTTAACAGACTGGGAACACAATGTTTTGAGTTTCTGCCTCTTGTTCAAAGGAACCGGCTTTTGGCAACACACTACCTTGCTCACTTTTGATTGCTTGACCAGTCCCAAGACCAACATTTTCCAAGCAAAGAATGCCACCCATACCCGAGCTGAGATGTGCAGAGCTGGGAACACAACCCATGTGCTACGGAGAACTCCACTACAGTGCACTGGAATTACACTAATCTGAAGACAAATGTGCCAAAACTGCTTATGGTTAAATCAACGAGACATTAAATTCAAACATTTGCAGTGCAACCGTAACAGTGCACATCTGAAATTAAAAGACCTTACTACATCCTCCTGTGCCAGTTCTAGATGTTAGGAAAAAGAGCAGAGTAATTTTGTTCTCACTGCTTAATTTCAATTGATACTCACTACAAACAATACTGTTTCTATTCTGGTTACTTTAGTTAATTGTTAATTCTAGTAGCCAAAAAATATCAAGGAGGGGTTTAAAAAAAATTGGAAAAAGTTTATTAGGCAAGGATAAGAAAATTCCCCCAAATTTCAAAATATGCAAGATCATCCTGTCTTCCCAGGCATGGCAGTTCAAATTCAGATATTCTCAGCTTTATGTTTTACATAGGAGATGACATTTGGATGTCACTGGAATTGCATCAGCTGGTAAGTGAACTTGCCACAAAACCATTTCCCTTGGCTGAGCTGTACTTACAATGTCCAAAACATAGTGAGTAAATGGTTACGTGCTTGGTGCTTGAGAATGTGTCGTCGTTGGGAATAAGATGGTGTTAACACCACCCACACTTGCACTGTGCCCATTCCCACGGTACAGCTCAAGGGAGACACAGGGTCTTTGCCTGGAGGGAATTTCATTGGCCAAGTTAACATTTAAGAGCTAACTTTCTAATGTGAGTCTTACAAACCACAGAGTATTAATCATACTACCCAACCTTATGGGAGGACTGCCAAACCACCATAACTTTCTTTCAAGCATATTCCTATTCCTGTTTGGAAAATAACAGATTACAGAAATAAAAAATGAACTTTCTTTTGGTCACCAAGTATCTGCCTGACGTTTTTCTACGTGTAAGACCTCCAACGGCTTTTATGGAAAAATAGGAGATAATTTTCTCATCTGCTTCTGTTCTTCAGTAGTTCCTGACATGCCATTATCTCAGTACTGTTTGCTCCTCTCAAAAATGATTAAAACACCAAAGACTACCAAAGACTTCCTAACCTCTCGGACTGCAGTAGATGTATCTGGTTTGGCCCCTACAACTATCAGAAAATCACAGAGTGTCCTTAGTAAAATAGTTTTGTGTTGTCCTAAAATCACATTCAGAAACTGATGATCTGATGGCGTTTTTTAATTAAATTATGCCTTATTGATGTTAGCACCCTCCAATACTACGGTAGCTACAGCCTAGTACATGTGTCCCCCTTGAAGGCAGAGATCTGCAGCCATTCACACCTTCACTGCTGAGATGCAGCCTCACGTCCCATTGCTGCAGTCAGAACCCCGTGGGCTAGAGAGGACCATCTAGAAAATACTGTAGAAATTATAATCCCTGCTATTCACTGGGGGCAGTAACTGTTAGAGCAGCATGGGGGTGCTTGCAGAGCCCATCCTTAGTAAATGGCCTGGAAAACAGCACCTGCTAAGAGAAGAACATGAGTACAAACTGTGTGTGCACCCACATGCGCCTGGATCAAACACACATAACTGGGCATTTGCTCCAAACTGCTTAGGTTAAAGAAGAAGCAACTATCAGACAGATTAAGCAGTAATTGGGGAATTAGAGAGACTTGGAAAAAAAGGAGCCAGCTTGAATAGAAGTACAAAAGAAACATGACTGCCAGTTAACTATGCGTCATTAGTAAGTCAATATAGTGCTTCGGTCCTGATTTGGTTTAAACTATAGAAACTGAGTGGTTTTCTCCTGTTGAGGAGCCTGCTGAGCTTCTGCTACTCCTCTGCTGAAAATGAAGCACTGCCTCATGTCCAGCTTACGGCACAGGAAAGAGAAGGCTCTGTAGGATCTAGGGATGTGTCCCAGGCTGTGCTGCAGAGAAGCCAACTTGGCAGCATTCTCCAGGTCCAGCGGAAAGGGCTCTCCTCTCCTCTCAGCAGAGATGTGGCACGTATCACAGAGAGGAAATGGTTATAATTATTCTCTTGCTGCATCTACACAGCTTTCCAGTCTCTCCTGATTGTACACAGGCATATAAATTCATTTGCCGCTAAGCTCTAATCTGGACCTAATGAACCATGTACAGCCTTTGGGGCAAGTTGGGGGACAGGTCGCTCTAAAAGAAGTTAGGCACCATGGCCATGGCTGTGCCAAACGTGGCTTGCTATGCCCTGCACAATGCATCAGTGCTATCTCACCTCACACACCCTTGTGCCATGCCCCAAAGACACACCGAAGCAACCACCACACCTCTTGCGTTGAGTTATGAAAATAAAACTCTCTCAAATAACTGAGCAGGCCTCTTGTTATTCTAGGCTATTGCTAAGGGAAAAAAACCCCAAAATCCCAACATCCCACCTCAGGAATAATAATCTGGGGTTGAACCAGGTCAAAGCCTGTCTTCCTGCTCGTGGCCCTCTATGGGCCTGGGTATTCCTGTACTACCAAGCAATGCTGCTTTCAACCAAATGGTTGAAGAACGGCAGCCCAACAGTGGCCAGTGCTGAGGCAGGAGCCTCTGGGATGCCTCCCAGCTGCACAAAGACTGGCCAGTGCAGGCTAGGCCATGGCATGGGGCTGCCGGGGGTGGCCCAGCAGGACTGCAGCTCCAGATGTGGCCATGATGAGTTTCTGACCTGAACTGGTGCCCACCAGTCAGGGAGAGTTGGGAATGGCAAGACCCCAGAAAGCATTGGCAGTCCTCTCCCCCTGCCAGTTCCCTGCCACAAGCCTTGACTTTGGCCTTGCAAGCTCTGTACCCGCTGCTGTGTCTTATAGGTTTCTGTCCCAGATGGGGCCCATGGTGGGTACCAAGCATCCCCTCTTCAGCGCTGGTAAACAACTGCAAGGGCAACCCCCCAGATAGCGTGGCTTGAAATGACAGTCCACACTTCCAAGCCTGGCCTGCTTGTCTAAGCCCAAACATCTGGAAAAGGTAATACCTAATATAATGGTCCCCAGGGATCAGCCCTTTGCCTGTTCCCATTTGAGAGAACACAGCACACTGACAGATGAGCCAGAGATGACACCAAAAGGTCATCTGACAAACAGAAGCAGCAAACACAGCAGTGGTGAGCAAAAGTCACTGCAGCAGTGCTGGGCAAAAACTGGCTGTGCATCCGGAGTGTGGCTCCTTCCAGGGGCCCGCTAGCACGTGTCCTCCATGGGTGAGGTGAGCACATGCATGGTGGATCTTGGGTGAGAAAAGCATAAGGACAAGAGAAGCAAAGATCTCTGGCTTTGAGCTGCATCAGGGATCGTGGCAAGCTCTGTGCAGGGCAAGCACAGCCAGTCTGCACCACCAGGTCAGGGGACCAGAAATGCCTTTAGCAGTACAGACAGACATAGGACAGGTTCTTCTAACTGCTCCTACACTGTTCTCTGCTGCAAGGGGAAAGATAAAAGGCTTCCCCTCAAGACATTGCTGTTTCATCTTCCATTGTTCCCCCTGAAGAGGCTTTAAAGACTGACTTCCACTGACACAAGAAAAGAAGCCAGTCAGCAGAAGTGAACACCAGCCCTCCACTGGACTTAATGGAGGCTGAACATCACCTCGTGGGCTT